GAGCGACGTAGCGACTGAATCACAGGATTCAGTGTTGACTCATCTAGTGCTTCTAGTCTTCCTAACTCCTGCCTCCGAGTTCCTTGTCTACCTTTTCTTATTATTGCCCTTTATTTCTCGACTGCTTCCCTCAACTCTTGTTGTAGTTAAATGCAAGTCAACTTTGGAGACTTCCATTACTCCACAGGCCGTTGTGAAATCCCCGCCAACGCGGCCTGTGTTTTACATTTCTCTTCCCTTGCGGGATTGTGACGAGTCTCATGCCGTACACACGAAATACGGCCACGTGCTAACTCATCCTGAAGAACTTCTGCTTGGAGTATCTCATAATCCTCTGGTGTGCGAGGAGATTGCTGGCTGACTTGCGAACCAACAGGTTGACTAACGGGACCCTAAGAGACACCCTGACTAACACCTGACGAAGAGGCCTAGGACAAGGTCTGTGACATAGTAGAGATGTTAGCCATTGCGGCCTCGGCGCTGGCTGCTGCTGCCCTAGCCTTCCACAATGCCATCCTTTCCATGGCTTCCCTCTGCAGCCTCCTTTCCTCTCCTTGGCCTAACTCCAAGAAGGTAATCCGTCGACTGAGTGCAGTTCTGGTCTGTGACATAGTAGAGGTGTTAGCCATTGCGGCCTCGGCGCTGGCTGCTGCTGCCCTAGCCCTCCACAATGTCGTCCTTTCCATGGCTTCCCTCCACAGCCTCCTTTCCTCTCCTTGGCCTAACTCCAATAAGGTAATCGGTCGACTGAGTGCAGTTCTCCGAGTCACTCTAAGATTCCTCACTAATCGTTCCTCCTCCTCAACACTTTCTTCTTCACTCATGAGCTACAATGGTGTGTGATCTAAACTAGAATCCACACTGAATCCTACCTCAGCATGACACCCAACCGAGTAATAATAATCAACTAATTCGGTCGGTTTGGAGAAAAGTAGTAAAGTGGTAACCAACAATCAATGCCAGGTCCTAAATGTAACTCTATGTCTATTTTTAGATTATTCTAAAACAAAATGCAATCCAGCAAGGAAAAGTTTATCCTATCTGCAGCTATTTGTCAGTTGTCAACCAATTTCGTACAGTAAAAATAATAATAGTAATAATAAATTATTTGTGGAGATGCATGCTGGATCGGAGATGATCTAATTAGCCCATCAGCGAACAGTTGTCGAAATTTTCCCTCCCCCTGTATCCCTCTTGAGTAGTCTCTTATGTCGATGCCCTGAGCATCTGGTTGAGCAGCGTGTCTGAAGGTGTGCAATCCGGCCCACCCCTGTGCCCCAAGCCTATAATAAGCCTGCCAGCCCTGCTGCACCTAAGTTATCCTCGCACGCAACGAGCCTTACTTCTGGTTGATCTGGCTGATCAAGAGGCAGTTTAAGGACAACCCCCAAGGTCCTCAGGAATTATTTAACATCGCAGACAGGACAACGATCACAGCCAGGGTTCAACTTGAACCCACCAGAAATATTTATAGATGGTCTGGTGAGCGTCTCTTATAGGGCTGGCATGCCTATTGCGCAGCAAGCAGAACCAAGGACTTCGGCAGAGCATGCGTGTACTAGTCCCAGCGGGTTGGCATGGTGACTGTGACCCGAGTGCTTCGTCCAGGGTCCTTCAGAGGCTTCGCCCGTCGCCCACCAGCTTGCTGCCCAGGAAGAATGTCGACTCTCAAGGTTGAGAGCTCGCGACACCTCACATCAAGAGGACTCTCAAGACAGAACTCACTTCCTCACGGTAAGAAGCAATGAAGAGGGTAGATAAGGAAGAGAGCAACGTAGATCATAATGCTGCCCCCAACCACAGATTTCTCACCGGCAACCTGACATGCATTTATGATGACCGGTCTTTGCCTTGGCACAACAAACAGCGAAATGCAGTTCCACCTCGGCTTAAATAACACATCAGCGTGCTCTCATCACCGAGCGTACATCCCAATGTTACCTCATAGCCTTCCTGGCGCGCCCACACGACCCTAGGCCGCCTATCGTTCAACGCCCAAGCATTATCACTGCCCCACCAATCATGCCAAGCACCGAATCGCTATTGCGAAGAACCAACAAGTGTAGTTCGAACCAGCTCCGATACCAAATTGCAAGGAAAATGAGCAATAGCGAGATGGCAGAATCCAGATTGCACAATCACGACGAAAGCCAGAAACCTCCACAGTGTCCAGAAAGCAGCATTGCACCAATAATACACCAATTGAGAACCGAAACACTGAAACCGAATGTCAATGAGAGCTTACTCTCGTCATCACCAACATAAGAGTCGAGGCCCTTCCCCCTACTTGGCGCTCGGCGCCCAGACTACTCCCACACAGCTACTTTCTGCCTACGAATTGACAATGCAACTGTTGGCGTCAGCGGCCACCGAAGTACATGAAGATGTCGCCCAATGCAGACTATCGCCAATACCAGGTATGTGCCCTCACGTCATCATCCTCAACTCTCTCTCTCTCTCCCTTGACTCATACACGAAGACCACCACTACCACTTGCTGTATGCCCAAGCCCCATCCAGCTATGGAAGCTGGGCTATGGCGCTGCCCTCAGCAGCACCCTTCCTCCTACACGACTGCACGTGCTTGCACCTTGCCTTAGCGCTAGCAGCAGCCCGCGAGCGTCCGCTCCAGCAGCGCTGCCGCAAACTAAAAAGTGCCTGAATGTCTTCACAGGCAGCAAGCTCTTTCCTATATGGAAAGAGTCTGGCCTGGCTTGCGGCCTGGCTGGGCTGGGCCTGCGCCCAGAAGCTTCCGGTAGGCCCCAGGCAGCTGGGCCTCTGCTGCTGCTGCTGGGCCTCGTTCGGTTACAACTGTCTGTGTATATTGCTGCAGATGTGGCCCAGGGCCTGCCTTTCAGAAAAGGCCTAGAAGGCCGTGGAAAGTACTTGCTGCTCATGGCCTGGGTTCCTTCAACCAACTGACGCGACACAACTGCCTGAAACCCAAATACGAAATTGACAACAATGAGCCTCTCGTGATTTGTTAGGCCCGCAATCACTTAGGGCGGGCACACTTGAAAAAGGGGCCCCTTAGGCCTGCCGAGGAGCCAAATCCTCGCACTTGCAGCTGGTGCAGTCGAGGCCCGTTCATTAGGCCAAATGCTGAAAATTGCCAAACAAAAGGACATTGACAGGGTTTTTGTCGGACTCTGATGCACAATTCATCAACACAAGGGAAGATGCTTCTGCGACACACCTTTGTCTTAACAAAGCCAAGACTTCCAAATACTTTCCTCAGTCATCACTAAGGCGCATTGGGGTTATGGAAGGTAAATACTAAATATAGAATGAAACAGATGAGATGCAAGGATTCGGCACCTCGGTCATCCAGGAAAAGGCCCTGCCCATCCTAAGTGAAGGTGGGCCTGCAAAAAAGAGGCCTGGCCTGAGTTCAAGCCAGTGTAAGCAGAATTGGGGCCCCAGGTAGTTGCTGCACGCATGCAGCATCTTCAACTAACCGCTAGGCCTAGCCCACGAGTCAGTTGACAATGCTAGGCCTTGTGCAGATTCTGGAAGGGCCCAGGGCGCAGGAAACTGGGACAGGCACAGCCTGGGCACAGGCCCCTCGGCCTCTCCAGCCAGTGAAAAGGACTGGAGGGCACCCTGCATTGCACATTCGGGCATTCTTGCAATGTGGCAGTGCTGTGTGAGCGGCTGCTCGACACTTGTGCCCGAGGAGGAAGCTACATGGTGGCAACGAGGTGAGGAAGGAGGAGAGAGAGCGGTGGCCATAGCCAGGCTGCTGGCTCCATACCCAGTGGTGGAATAGCGGAGGTCCTCGGTGGAACAGGGAGTGGGAGAAGGAAGAGCGTACCTGGTGTCAACGAAGGCAGGCTGCTCGATCAGAGTCTTCGAGAACCATTGGGATGACACGTCGACCAACTGCCAACATAAGTAGGCTAGTCTGATAGGAGTTGCAGGAGGTAGGGTCGGAGGACAGCCGCCTGTAGGAGGGCTACATTGTTGTTCTATTGGTGATTGGAGGTCCCGGAAGGGCTTTCATTATGAAGAGACTTCAGTGCTTTGCTCATTCCTATTTGGTGTGGTTCTTGCTTTCATTTCTGCTTTCAATTTCAGCCCAATGATGTCTGGTCTTCTGTGAGATGTCGCAACTTGGTTTATTGCTGTTCGCATCACTTATTTCCTTGCATGAGAAGTGAAGAACCGGCGGAACATAGCCATTCGGGCTGAGTCTGGGCATGACCTTGGGCGATGGAACCCCCCACCTGCTTCATGTCGTCATGGGCGTCTTCCAATCCCACCGTGGTCGTGGTGATGGCAATAATGATCAACAAAAAAAAAACACCTAGGATTGTCTGATTTGCTTCTCAAACACCTACAGGACTTGTGAAGGCGGATGACTGTTTTTTTTATGCGTGGCAGTGGGCCCAGGGTTAACTGATTCAAGTTTGCAAGACATACCTGGTGAAGGCTGATGCTAAGCCTCTCACAGCCATGGCATGAAACCTTTTTGTGACTGTCTGGGATCCAGCCGAAGCTTCCAGCTCTCATCTGAGTTTGTTTGTTTGTTTGTTTGTTTGGTTTTTTTTTTTTTTTTTTTTTTTTTTTTTTTTTTTTTTTTTCCGGTTTCATTTCTCCATTTACGCATGTCAGCCTTGTTAAGGGGCCATCCTAATCTTCCCTGAGGTAGGTGCTTGGGAATCCCACAGTTGTCAGTGGAGTTTGGGCCTGGAGCTGGGAGGACTGGAATGTGCTGAGGGTGTATTGTTGTTGATGATTGGAAGTTTGAAATTTTAAGCCAAACTCAGACAAAGACAACATTTCGGATATTGTTGTTGATGATTGGAAGTTTGAAATTTTAAGCCAAACTCAGACAAAGACAACATTTCGGAGAGAATCTATTTTTTTAGATGAACCAGGATCGCAGAAGGATGAAAACAGAGTGGAGATGTGCATTCTGGAGTTAGGCTGGGAGTGGTGGGGAGGAGGGCAGGAGAGCTTACGTGCTCACAATCCCACGGCGTCAACATCTCACAATACCTGTGTATCATATTTCATAGGGTAGCTGTCAATGAGGTCGTGCACATTTGTGAGCCGTGCGGCTGCCACAATATCGTCATCAGTCGCATCTTCAATAGCGAATTTGATGTTGTCCTTGAAGCTTTTCTCAAGCATGACGGGCTCTGTGCTAAGCCAACCAAGCTGATCCCGTAGCCAACGTGAGTTCAATGTCTGTATGCTGCACTCATTGAGAAGAATCCGTCCGCTCATGGGCTCCCAAAATTTCAACAATAGCAAAAGCAATGTCGTCTTCCCGCATCCCACAGGGCCAAGGACAACAACAACAGTGTTTGGATCAACAGTGCACGACATCCCACGAAGCACAAAAACATCAGACTTCATGGGGTAGGAGAACACCACTTTTTCAAACTTGATGGAGATGGAAGCAACGCCTTCAAGCTTCACGTCACCATTTCCTCCACAAATTTGAGCATTGTCCACGATCTTGAAAACAGCCCTCATCGATCGGACCGCTTTTCCCATGTGCGGTGCAAGGACTATCGCCTCTGCGATCGAATAGCTGCCAAAGCCAAACACAAGGATGATGGCGACAACATCTCGCAACGGTTTGCTGTCACCGTCCAACTGCCTCAACCCATACCATACCACAAGCGCAAATGCCAGGTAAACAAATGACTGTGAAATGGCAAGGACTACACCTGCAATGACACTCAAGCGCCTACTCAACCGCAGAGGATCGCCAAGTTTTGTCTTGTAGAGCTGCAAATCACATGGCAGACAAACACGGAAGGAACTACCAAATGAGAACACATTTTTCATGATGCATTCTGATTTTAATCCTGTATTCGTCTTCTAAATCAGCATTTCCGTTATATTTCGTTATTGGCAATTAGGGTTACGGTAAATTTTCGGTTTTGAGCAATTTGGGAAATTCGAACGTTTTGGATACCGTAAAACCCAGAAATTCCGCGGAAACGCGGAAAATTAGGGTTGGGCTCCGAAATTTTCGCGAATTTTTTTTTCTTTCCCTAGTGTGAAAAATTCCGAAAACGGACATAGGCCTTTAAAAATCGGATTTTGTAGGTTGAAATTCCCGAAATTTCACGTTTTTCAAAAATTCGAGTGTTTTTCTCCCTGATTTTCAGAATTTTTTTTTGGCCAACTAATCCGAATCTGACCCTCAGAATTGCAACTTCATTGATCTCAACGGATACCTAATCTTGATACAATTCAAATTCGTTCATTATCATTATTGCAAATATTGTTTTATTGATTATCATTAAGAATTATTATTTCGTTATTAATCATTAATTAATTTTATTGATTAAATAATTCGTTATTATTTTCTTATTACGAATTTTTGAGTTGTTTTGGCGGGAAAGTTTATCTTTTTCTATTTGATTAGGTGTCTAAAGTCCATCAGTGGGACAGGGACTGTATGCGAAGTGCTTGATTGTTCTACCCCTGTTCCCACTCTCCCTACCCCCCTGTAATCTGTGACCACCGGGATTTCTCAAGTACCACATCAGCTAGAGCTGATGTCGACGGAACAGGACACCAGGGCACTGCCACGACGCAGTGCCAGGCTTGCAGTTCGTAGCCGTTCTGTGGTACCTCCAAGAACCAAGTATCAGCAACAGCGACTCAGCAAGCGGACGACTCCAACGACATCGAGTACAGCACTGACAGTACCGGTTACCACTGGAGTTCTTCCCACATGTCCGGTCCAAGGGACCCTTGAACCGTTGGCTGACTACCTTGGGCGGCTACAGGTATTCACGGATGCCGTAGCTACCGCCAAGGCTCAGCAGGAGGCAGCAGAGGCAGAACGTCAGCGGCTGGCCAATGAGGCGGCAGCCCAAGCTCAGCAGACTGCTGAGGCTGATGCAGCGGCACGAGACCGACGGAATGCCGCCAGCACGGAGTTCCTGATTCAAAGTGAGAATCAGTGGACAACGCTACTCCAAAGCATGATCTTTGTGCCTACGAATGCGCAGGCGGATCCGACATTGGCGGAGGCAGAGAGAAGTAACCTGGCTAACTTGCTGCTGGGCATGATGAGGGGAATCATGTGGAATAACACACTGCTGCAAGCACACCTGCGCACGGAACGACAGCAAAGACAAAAGCACCAGCAAGACGTGGCCGCTTTAACAACTGCCATCCGCGCCGCAGCAACACAGCAGCAGCAACAGCAACAGCTGTTGAACTCCACTCTCGCACGCATCAACAGCATTCAGGCTACGGCCTCAGCAGCGCCAGGCTGCACAACAGACGCGACGAAGCAGCTCAACGAGCCCATCGATCACGTCGTCACTATCATTGTCGAACTAGGTGATTTCACTAGTCCGACCACGATCAGCAGCATGGTGGCCGCCATCAAGACGAGCATCACCAAACTGCAGACAAGACCGGACGCCGCTACAAAAAMTTACAAGATGCCGCACTTCGACATCAGCAAGTTCGACGATTACAACAAGACGGACGCCTTGACATGGTGGCAACGTTTCCTCACGGAAGCAGCATGCCGCACTGTCCCGGCTGACGACATGATGAAGGCGCTCTACTTACAACTGATTGGAGGAGCGCACGCATGGATGAACCATCCGGCGGCTACCAAGAAATGCACCATCGCCGAACTCCACACGCACATCAAGTGGAAGGAGTTCGAGCAACTATGGTTCACTCGCTTCATGGTCCGCAACGTCGTGAAGGCGGCCATGAATGAGGTGTACACCTGCTCGCAATGGAGTATGCCAACTCGAGACTGGACAACCAAGTGGCAGAAGATAGTGACCACGCCAGGCTTCGATTTGAGTTTTCCTAACCAACGATCCGAGTTCTTCTCGCGATCGTGCGCAGGACTGTGAACCGCACTCGGCAACGAGTACGATTACGCCTCATTCCAGGCCATCCTGGATCGTGCGAACTTGGTCATCCAAACAGATGACAAGGCCACAAACGAACGGCAGTCCCAACCGCATTATGCGGCTAAGCAGGGCTATCAACGACCGACACATAACAATGCCGTGATTTCTGAAGAAATAGTCGATCTCCAATCTGCAGCAGCATCCTCGAGTGATGGAGGAATTGTAGCAGCGCTCCCGCCGAAGCGTCCCAAGAGAGTTCGGAAGAACAAGGCGACACAAGAGACGACATCGACAGGAACTGGGCAGCAGCCATGGACGACATACAAGATAATCAAGGAAGTCTATGACCTTCGTCAACGGTACGGATATTGCCTTTGGTGCAATGGAGTCACTCACTTGACCGCACAATGCCCCGAAAAGGGCAAGGCACGCGTACCCCGTCCAGCTAACTCGGGAAACTGAGTCACGCAAGGAGAGGGGCGACGTCTCTCCTCACTCCGCCGGACCCGGTTGCCTTGCTAGCAATCGATGTCACTACCGGGGAGCATGCGTTAGTCGCTGATTCTCGTGCTACGTACGAGGATTATGTCGCCCAGTTGGTACCACCACTAGACCAGCCGAGCCACGTGCACTTAGATTGCGTATGCGCAGCCTATACACCGTCGGCAAGTGATCCGGTCAGTTCGCCACTGATTTCCGAGGACTCGACGGCGTGGTCAAGACTTGAGGAGCTTGACCCGCTCACACGAGAGGACTTCGCTTGGATGCCTCTACCCTCGACCGGAACCTTGCCAAGGCCGCATTGCAACGCCTTGATGGCAAATCTACGCTCCTATTTGCACACTACAGTACCTGTCTCTTATACACATCTAGATGTGTATAAGAGACAGGCCTATACACCGTCGGCAAGTGATCCGGTCAGTTCGCCACTGATTTCCGAGGACTCGACGGCGTGGTCAAGACTTGAGGAGCTTGACCCGCTCACACGAGAGGACTTCGCTTGGATGCCTCTACCCTCGACCGGAACCTTGCCAAGGCCGCATTGCAACGCCTTGATGGCAAATCTACGCTCCTATTTGCACACTACAGTACCAGCTCTATTGACGGACGACGGGGTAGCGGTTGTCAATCTCCGCTCCTATCTTGTGAAGATTGACCGCGAGTACGCCACCCAAAGGTACGCCGAAACGGACGCCCAACCTGTAGTCCCTTGATTGATTGCGGAGCGTCTCGCAACTTTATTAGCCAAGCCATTACAGCCCGCGCAGGCCTTGGCCCACGCGTTCGAAGGAAGACGCAACCCACGCAAGTTACAATCGCGGACGACCGCACACTAAAGTCGATTGACCGATGCGTCGATGGCATTCCGGTATACTTTGTGCCACTTGCGTGCGAGCCGATGTCTTTTGACATCCTCGACACCAAGTTCGACATGATTCTAGGCATGTCTTGGTTGTGTAGCGCCGATCATCTGGTGAACTTTCATGACCGAACCGTTCACATCCGTTATCGGAACGGAGTGTTAGTCCCATGTACGGTCACGGCCCCTCACACTTCGATTGCTTGTCACGTGGTTTCCGTTGCGAGAATTTGCGACGCCATAGCTCAGAATGACGTCGAGGAGATGGGCCTTGTATTCTTGCATGCTCTCCCCTCGCCGGACGGACCAGCCGCGTCACCGCCGGACCCACGCATTTCTCACCTCTTGGACGAGTATAGAGACGTCTTCGAGGCTCCCACCGGAACGGTTTCGGATCGGCCCATACGTCACGGGATCACTCTCGAGGCTGGCGCCGTCCCTCCGCGTGGATGTATCTATCGCATGAGCGAAGAGCAACTTGAGGTGCTTCGCGCACAACTTGGTGACCTTCTCGACAAGGGCTGGATTCGCCCTAGTTGTTCGCCCTACGGTGCCCCTGTTCTCTTCGTCCGGAAGAAGAACAAAGATCTACGGTTATGCATCGATTATCGCAAACTTAACACACAAACCGTAAAGAACGCCGGCCCTCTCCCTCGGATTGATGATCTCCTTGAGCGGTTAGGCGGCGCCACATACTTCTCGAAGTTGGACTTGAAGTCGGGTTACCACCAGTTCGAAATCCAGCCTCAAGATCGGTACAAAACCGCGTTCAAGACGCGATACGGGCATTTCGAGTGGGTTGTCATGCCATTTGGCCTCACCAATGCCCCCGCGACTTTCCAAGCAGCCATGACGACTGAGTTTCGCGACTTGCTCGATCGCAGCGTCCTCATCTACCTCAATGACATCTTGGTTTATAGTAGGACGTTGGACGAGCATATCGTACACCTTCGCATTGTTTTGGAACGTTTCCGAATGGCCAAGTACAAAGCGAACCTCGACAAGTGTGAGTTCGCCAAGCAGGAGCTTGAGTACTTTGGCCACTATGTTACGCCGAAAGGCATTCGTCCCTTAGCGGACAAGATCCAARCCATCGTGAATTGGTCGGAACCCCGTTGCACAACGGATGTACGCTCTTTCATGGGTTTGGCTGGATATTATCAGCGATTCGTCGAGTCATACTCGAAAGTGGCCACTCCTTTGTCGAGACTTCAGTCCCCGAAGGTGCCCTTCGAGTTCGACGACGCAACCCGTGGCGCGTTCACTACGTTGAAGGCAGCGATGCAAGCCGCACCTGCCCTCCGTATATACGACCCCACCCTTCCCACCCAAGTGACTACGGACGCTTCGGGATAYGGTATTGGTGCGGTGTTGGAACAATGTCACGAGGACGGTTGGCATCCGGTCGAGTATTTTTCCCAAAAGGTGCCTCTCGTCAATACTCTCGACGACGCTAGGAAGAAAGAGTTACTCGCGTTCGTCACCATTCTCAAGCGGTGGCGCCACTTTCTTCTCGTCCGTCGGCGTTTTAAATGGAATACGGACAACAATCCGTTGACCTTTTACAAAACGAAGGATACGGTCACTAGCACGATCGGTCGATGGATGTATTACATCGACCAGTTCAACTTTGACCCGTGCCACATTCCCGGTCCCGCCAATCGAGCTGCGGCCGCCCTCTCACGACGGCCCGAYTTTTGTGCCATTGTGACCACGACATTCGACCTCGATGACGACCTGCAGCCGCATTTCGTCAAAGGCTACAAGTCCGATCCGACTTACTCTACGCTTTACGCGGAGCTTTCATCGGATCACCCGCCGGCTAGCCACTATCGGATTTCCGACGGGTTCCTTCTCCTTCACACGAGAGGAACGGACTTGTTAGTTGTGCCCCAAGATCGCATCTTACGGACTCGTCTTCTCGGCGAATTCCACGACGCACGACTTTCGGCACACCTTGGCGTGAACCGCACAYTAGCACGCCTCCGCCAGCGTTTTCACTGGCCCGACGTCCTTCATGACGTCACGAGGTACATTGAGTCATGTGCAGTTTGCCACCGTAACAAGGGTCGATCTCGAGTCCCCTTCGGCGAACTGAAACCGTTGCCGATTCCTTGGGGACCGCGCCTCTCCATTGCTATGGACGTGACAGGCCCGTTCCCCCACGATCGCCACGACCATGACGGTATTCTCACGGTCGTTGACCGTTTGAGCAAGTATGCTCGCTTCCTTCCTTGCAAGTATCATGTTGCAACACCCGAGCTCGCACGACTCTTACACACCGGTTGGATTACCAACCAGGGTGTTCCGGAAGACATAGTGAGCGACCGAGATACTCGCTTCATGTAGGCCTTTTGGACTTCCCTCATGGCTGAGTCCGGTACGACAATGAAGCCGAGCTCGGCTCGGCACCCGCAGACGGATGGTAGACGGAGCGAGCACACCAGACTGCTCAGACGATGTTGCGTACGCTCATCCGTCCCGACCAGAAAGATTGGGTTGACCGGCTTCCCGACATCGAGTTCGCCTATAACACTTCGGTGCACCCGGCGATCTGCGTCACACCATTCGAGTTACATCATGGTGGAGAGAAAGCACGGATCTTCGCTGATCTCCTTCTGCCACGGGCCGCCGACATAGACGTCCCTTGCTCTCCCGCTTTCGTTCGGAAGTACCGGGACTTGCTGATCAAAGCCCGCGCGAACATACAAAAGGCTCAAATCCGCATGCAGCAGCAAGCTAACCGACGTCGACTTCCATGTCCTTTCCGCAAGGGAGACCTTGTTTGGGTCCTCTCCGAGGAATTTGCGCTCGAGCAGGACGTTTCGCGCAAACTCCTTCCGAAATGGTTCGGACCATGGGAAATTACTTTTGCCGTTGGAGACGACCCCGCAGGTCCTTCCTTTGTGGTCAACATTCCTCCGCACCTTACAGTGCACCGGGTCGTCCACGCGTCGAAGCTGGCCATCTACACGCCACCTTCCGCCGACGAGTTCCCCGGCCGTCGATCACAGGATCCGCCTTCTATGGACGGACATCAGGAAGTTGACCGAGTCATCATGCACCGCAAGTATGGCAACAAGCCAATGCAGTTCAAAGTCACATTCAAGCAATGTGCGCCTGACGACACTCGGTGGATCTCTAGTGCAGACTTGCAGACTTTTGGACCCCTTATCTTCGCCGACTATGAGAAGCGACGCCTTGCCAAGGAAGCAGCTCGTCCCACCCGACCCATCCCGRTATCGAACAGACAACTCCGCCCTCGCAGGTAGCTCGGTCTTTTAAGAGGGGGAGTGTGTTACATCTTTGACGCCACACGGGTCCTACCGGACCCGACTTAGGACTAGAGGGACACATCAGGGCCTAAAGGCCCGACCTTGGGGGATTATTAGGCCGAAAGGCCACGACTTGGACCAGACCGACGGACCAGGCCCAAACGGCATTTTGTTTTGGGCCTGGCGGCGCCTTTGAGGCTGCCGCTTTCCGGTCGGATCTGAATCGTCGATCTGGTCGATTCAGACCCAACCGAGGCCTCGCAGCATTGAGGCCGGTCTTCGAACCAGTACTTAGTACTGGTCCGGCCTCACTTCGAGGCATCGAACCACCAGCATTATGCCGGTGCGTATCGGTTGGCAGAGGAGCGCTATTTTGAGCGCAGGAGCGGAGAGCAGCAGCGGCAGCGCGAGCTAGCGCAGCAGCAGCAGGAGAGAGGAGACCAGCAGCAGCACGGTGGCCATAGCCGCCTCGACAGCAGCAGGGCAGGTACCAGGAGGCAAGGATCTTTTCTCCTCCCTCCACGGTCCCGTTCCCTCCTCCTCACCTCCATCTTCCCCTCTGCCATCTCTCTCTCTCTTTTCTTCTTCTTCCTCTTCTTTCCTCAGACTTCTTCTTCTTCTTCTTCTTCTTCTTCTTCTTCAGATTGGAGACTGATACTAGTTCGACAAAGATCAGTGTTGGACTTCGGTGGTATGAGGCTATGGTACTTACCGGATTCGAGACTTGGAGATTGTTGGGGTTGATACTCGGCGGCATCACAGTTCGGACACCGTTTACATGAGGACTTTGTATCTCCGACATTGGTGACTTATTGTCCTCGACATTTTGATCTTGTTTGATGACATTTTGGACTACCATATCGGTGACCTATCGGATTCTATCTCGGTGACCTTCGGTGTTGTCTACCTCCCCCACCTCCTTCGTCTCTCCTCCCACCTTTCATCTGTGTATGTGTGTACGGGGCCTGAGCATCTTCCATGTATGGCTCAGACCCCACCATCTCACGATTGTATGTGCGTGGAGTGATATCTGTGTGAGTCAGTCTATGTGAGTCAGTCCGTTTATTAGACTTCCGCTGCATACATGCTCTTCCTATATTGGTTGATCTTTGGTTCTGCCCCATACTCGTTGATGCATTCACGAGTATGTAACACCAACCCTGGTTAGCCACTCATAACACCCCTAAGCCCCTGAATCGTCAAACGCCACCCAGATACAGCCTCGTGAGGGAAGCACCACCCTGAAACAGGCCTCTGAGGCCAAGCGCCACTCAGAGGATGAAGAAGAAGACCAGCGCCACAGTATCTGATGATGACGAAGTGTCGGGAGACTTCCCGGGTGGAAGTCTGCAGCAGCGCCACCAAACCCTGACAAGATGACCTCTGAGGACGAAGCTGCAGCTATGGCTGCAGCGCCACCACCCTGGAACCCCACTCCGGAGGAGGGTCCAGCAGGGCACCAGCTTCTCTCACCTCCAGCAGACCTCGATAGCCCAGACCTTTGTCAGCCCCTGCGTGCTGGCAGAGTACAGCGCAGGTCCCAGCTATGGCCGGCGCTCCGAAGGTCTGGCTATGCCTGTCTCCTTCCACGCTGAGCCGTCACCACTTCCGGTTCATGCGTAACGCAGCAGCGATGTAGTCAGTACCAACTGCCAAAAGCCCTCAACCGATGTCCCCATCTTATCTATAGACTAACCTAGCCTAGACGAGACCTAGACCGGACTGACTGACCGACCGGTACCGTTTCTGTCTCGGCCTCTCGGCCTCTACCGGACCCGGCTATAGGCTATAGGACCGTCTATTAGAATAGGCCCTTAGGGCCTGTCTGTCCTAGGGGTAGCCCGGGCCTGCTATTCGCAGTTAGGGTAGGCTGTAGGGAATTCTGTTAGTACCAGGCCTGCATTTTTCCCGAATTTGCAGATATGTCCCTCACGATTTTCCCTCACAGGTAGGTCTCTCGGTTAGCCCTCAGCCAAACAAAATTACAAATCTATCCTACCTATAGTACAGCCTCGACAGAGAGAGGCTATAGGCGACCAGAAAACAGCAAGTCATTGCATGCTGCTGAAGAGTCTGCTCGCATATATGCTCCTCTGCCAACAACAAGCACCACCCATTCCCATTGTCTTGCTCCCTCTTCCCTTGTCTCCCCAACAGCTTGCATCACCACCTCTCCCCTGGGTGCTATCTGGCTGCGGCACATGGCAACACTAAAGCCAATGCCCGAACGTCTCTCCCCCCCCACCTCTCTCCTTAGTCTCTTCGGGTGGCCAGGGTCTGGGTCCGAGTAGGCATTCCCTACTGCATACGAGCCCAAGCCTAGATCCTGGCCCATGTTCCAAACTCAGACATTGGGCCTACCGGTTAGTTACATGGACGGGGCCATTCACTCTGCCCTGTGTCCAGGCGAGGCCTTAATTAGGGTCAGTCTAATATTACCTCACCACAGCCTTCCGCAAGGAATATGAGCGAGAAGGATAGGCAGAAAACCTGAGTGGGCATCTGGTGTCGGGCCGAACCCCCGTAGACTTTCGAGCCTTTTGTCGACCCCGCTGCGGGTCCCACTTGGCTCGACCCGCCCACGCTCAAGCCCTGGGCGCGGGTCGTTCATCCCGGGGTCACCCCCACCTAGTGCTTTGATATGGATGGGGATGGGCCAATAGGGCGAGAGACCTTAACATTGGGGATGGAGCTCAGCCCTCTAGTCGAGTGGTAGCCTCACTGGTCAAGTGTCGTAACCGTAAATTCTAGATTCTCCTCTTTGTGTTCTCAAGCAATTGCTCCTTCCAATACACATGCAGTCCAGGGGGTTCATTGAGATTTTCTCTTCTTTCCGTGCGTAGGCTAAGCGTCCTCCTTAGGCCACGCACCTTTTCACTAACGTCCCTATAGTCTGACAGCATCCTCGGGGCGAGGCCACACCGCTCTCCTCCCCTAGCCACTACCATTCCTCCTACCGGCCTAAGTCCTTCCTTCAAAATCTCACTGCGGTCCTTAGTCTTTCCGGGCCTCCATATAGCATACCACAATCCAATGCACATTCTCATCATATAAAACGACCCCCTTTTCCAAGCTTTCCGCTTCCGCACTCCCGTCCCGACACCGCACATGCCGCCCCAAATCACTCACCTGCACAAGTCCCACACAAGCACAACATCCATCCCCCATTGGGGGTCAACACATCGCCCTTCCCGCAAGCCTGAGTTCCATTTCTTTGCCGTGGTTCTTCCTTCTCTCTTTGCCCTCCCACAATCAAACCATGCTCTGTCCTTAGTCATGCAACCAGGGAAGATGGTTGAGTCAACTGACCTTGCACAAAACTTGCACTTGATCTCACTTCTTTTAAAAGCCTCTCTTTTTCCAAGCTCCCAATCCTTTTACTTTCTTTCCTTCTTGGTGGCACGAGGGACCGACTGCCCCTCCCTTGCCCTCTTTCTCCACCAAGTGAGGCCGCCTCTTTCCACCGTCCACCCCCTGGCAATGTAACAGGTGAGGGAAGCGGTTAGTTACGTAGCAAAGAAAGGGAAGGAGGGGAAGGGTGGAGTTGTTAAGGGTGTGGGCGGGGAGAACGTTGATGGGAGGGAAGTAGAGGACGAGAAGGTATGGAGGTTAGGAGAGAGAGAGAGAGAGAGAGAGAGAGAGAGAGAGAGAGAGAGAGAGAGAGAGAGAGAGAGAGAGA